GCAGCTTCGCGCTCCTGACGCGGCGAGTATAAACCAGGCTCTACACTCAAAGAGCTGCGCAGCTCAAACGAGTCGCACGGTTTCGTTATGCTTTCAGTTTCGTTTGATGTTTCTCACATGCAACAGAAATGCAGCGCTTATGAGTTAAACAATGCGGTGGTCGCGCCAGTGCGACCGCACACAAAATTTAGTCGCACGGGCAGAAAAAATTATCGCAAAATGCGCCCATTTGGTCGCACACTGGAGCCCTGTGCAGTACAGTATTTATTTATCCTCAGTTGTTCAAATCGTGGTAATCGAATATGGTTATAGTGATAACTAAAATATGAAATGGTAATACTAACCGTGGGGTATTTTATCATGATTTATCGTCAAACCGGTAATCGTTACATCCCTAGTACTGACGTAATCATATAGCCGTCATCATCCCGATTTAAATCCTAAATATCAAACATGTTTGATATGATCGGGGCGGTCCCGATTTGTGCGCCAGCAGATCGGGAGGTGCAAGATTCGATCGGTGAACGCCTCACATTACCAGATAATCCGTGCCGAACATCGGGACTGATGTTCGAGGGGCTCGACAAGATTTTTGCTCCGATTCTCGGGAGGGGGAAATCAGGGCTGAATCGGGCTAAAAATCCTGTAGTGTGAGCCAGGCTTTACAGAATGTTTTTTTATAGTACAATTACCTCTAATATGTCAAAAGATCGAGGAAATTTTTATTTCTCGGTTCATGACCCTTTTAACTTCAGTCAGAAGGCAGTCGCCAACATGGCGATTTAGTAGCCTACATTCTGTAATATATTCTTAATACACACCTTCATCCCTAAAAATGCACTTCAAGGTCAAGAAGTCGGTTCTTCATCGAATACAGTAAATTCAATCAAATATAGGCAATTCATGAAACCTAACAACATAGCAACATAACATTCATTAAAGTTATGCTGGGTACACACTAAAAGATTTTTAAAATCTTATAAGATCTTCAAAATGTGAGAGAATCACAAGTCTCAGATCTGCCTGTGGCTTTATGGTAGTGTTGGGTCGTTCTTGAACGATTCGTTCATTTTGAACGAATCTTTAATGTGACTTGGGGTTCGCTCATCACGTGACAGCCCCATAAGCTTACCCTATGCAGTCTGAACTGGAAAGAGAATTGATTAGTTCATCTCTCGAGTCTTCGGCCCAAACCCGAAGACTTGTCAGATAAGAGGTGAGGTGAGCTAATCATAGACTGAAGACCCAGGTAAACAAT